TTGACAATGTTTCCATGAATAGACAATTGATCACCCCTATAAAGTTCACGGATTTGCATAAAAGGTATACAAGGTGATATTAGTCGCTCTTCTAGTGACGTGAAATTCAATACATTAGGCTTATAAGGAAAACCCATCTCATTGGCTTTAGAACAGATGGGTAACCTGCATTGTTTTATACCTTTTTTATTGCGAGTTAGACAATTGCTTTTTCAGACTTTTTTTAGACTCTTTTTTTATTGCAAGTCATGCAGATCCATTCAGTGTCATTGACACTTTTAAAACCAGTAAGAAAGGACTCAACAATGTCTAGTGAACATGCCCTATATTTGTTTGGATCACATTTCACTATAGAGCACTTAAACCACAATTGGTCACAAGTGCATACATATTCTGGGCCACATGTAATGTCTTTGTAAAACAAATTTATCATAGAAATTGCATTGTACTTGTTTTCTTGTCGCTGCAACTCATGACTGCTACATGTTAGTAGTGATACACTTGCCAGAACCTCAGCCGTTTGTCTTTTTCTAACCGACTGTTCGGTTATTTGCCTTACGTGCTGCGGGTTGTCTGATTTTCGTTTTCTGAAGGAGCACTGCTCAATTACTCTAACATGTTCTGGGTTCAATTTTGTTCTTTTAGCAGCCTGGTGTTTCTTGTTCCTAGATGCTTTGCTATTAATGTTGCAGTCTCGTACTCATTCTTGATCCTCATTTATTCTAAAGTTATCATCAGCTCTTCTGTCTTTCATGTATTCTGTCGTGTATTTTCTTCTGTAAACTTTACGTTTTTCACTGTTATCAACTGGTTTGTTTTCATTTGCATTTTTTGTTTGTTTGCTGTTGTCTCTTATCTCCATTGTTCTGTTTTCTACTATGGAAACATAATGAAATTCATCTAGGCGTCCATTGTAAATGTTTAGGGCATTTGTAACATTCACTGGTTCAACAACAGTAACTGTAGAAAAGGTTGGATGAAGTGGTATTCAGCAGGTAACAGATCATCTGTTTGGCATTTGCTTGTTGTTTGATATTTTGTATTTGTTATGGTATTTGTTATTTGGCGTATATTGTATTTAGCATTTGTTTNTTTCATTTGCATTTTTTGTTTGTTTGCTGTTGTCTCTTATCTCCATTGTTCTGTTTTCTACTATGGAAACATAATGAAATTCATCTAGGCGTCCAATGTAAATGTTTAGGGCATTTGTAATATTCACTGGTTCAACAACAGTAACTGTAGAAAAAGTTGGATGAAGTGGTATTCAGCAGGTAACAGTCATCTGTTTGGCATTTGTTTGTTGTTTGATATTTTGTATTTGCTATGGTATTTGTTATTTGGCGTATATTGTATTTAGCATTTGTTTGGCAGTTGTGTTCAATCTCAAGAGCTTGTCACTGTTGTGGCATTCAAGTCCCAGCGAGAGGGGAACTTGACCAAAGCTTCATCGATCTCCTTTGTCACGTGACATTTTCCGAACAGCTTCCTAGCGAATTGCGAAATATTAAAAGCGTATTTAATTTTAAATCATACGTCCTGCGAGTATGTTTAGAAAATTCAAAATGCAACACAGTAGAAGTAAGGCAGCTTACCTTTTTCCCCAGATCATAAAGCATTCATTCCGAATAGTTCGTTTTATGCATTCTATTAATATTCCTCGTCGTCCAAATGTATCTTGGAGACATTAAGACTTTAAAACCCATTTCTTTCCACTCGAGCTTTCTTGAGCACATTTCCTGTTCGTTTGTGAGGTCTTGAAAAATGTACTTTGATCAAAGATGGAGCGAAAGGAAGGAAAACTCGCCTTAACAATTCTTGCGTCGGGCTCGACGCAACAGACGCCAT